GTTGGTCGTTTTTGTGCGAGAACTCGTGGGGTCGGGGTTCCGAAGAACAGAGCCCAGAGGCTTGGGAGTGTCGGGGCCAGGTTGGGCCAGGTGCGGGGCCTTGGTCGTTGTTGAGCGAGAAATCGTGGGGTCGGGGACCCCAAGAACAGAGCCCAGAGGCTTGGGGGTGTCGGGGCCAGGTGGGAACCAGGTGGGGGGCGTTGGTCGTTTTTGGGCGAGAAATCGTGGGGTGGGGGAGTCCCAAGAACAGAGCCCAGAGCCTTGGGGGTGTCGGGGCCAGGTGGAGGGGGGGGGGGACGTTGGTCGTTTTTGGGCGAGAAATCGTGGGGTCGGGGGTTCCAAGAACAGAGCCCAGAGGCTTGAGGGTGTCGGGGCCAGGTGGGGGCCGGGTGGGGGGAGGGGGGGGGGCGTGGGTCGTGTTTGGGCGAGACATCGTGGGTTCGGGGGTCGGGGGCGTGGTGGGGAGTGTGGTTGGGGGTATCGGTCGGTTTTGGGCGAGAAGTGGTGTGGTGGGGGAAGGGGGGGCCCAAGAACAAAGGTTCCAAGGGAGAGAGCCAGGAGGGGGGTATCGGTCGGTGGCTGCTTGAAAGGAGAACCTCACGATGAATGGCTCTAGCACACACTCTCCCTCACACGCCTCTGGGGTCGGCGGATTTTCAGCATCGTCATCATCATCGTCATCATCATGGTCGTCATCATCGTCATCGTCGGCAATGTTCCCATCCCCTTCCCTCCTCTCTCCTCTCTCTTTCTCGCCCCCGTCCATCCCCCCTTTCACCTCCCCCCCGAAGCTGCAAGGTTCGGGCAGCAGGTCCTTGATAGGGGGAGAATGGGATTGCCCCCGCGCCCAACTTTCGTGAGAGTTTGCGAAGTTCAACTTGATACATTCCGCCTCAGGCGTCAAAGCAGGGCCGCAGAAGTTCCGACCGTTTCCTTTCATCCCGACTCATTCGTGACGGTCCCGGGGCCCGGCGAGAGTCCCTGGATACCGAAACCGGCCAAAAGCTTACATCGCGAGGATGCCAGGGTTTGGCCGAAAGCGGCGGGCTTTTCACGGCGAGCGCCTTCTGGCGCCACACGCAGCCCAACAGAGTTCCGTGGAGCTCTCATGGGGCCCTGTAGCGCCCTCTGGAGCCCTTTTGACCCCCTAAGACGCCCTGTGGTTGTGATGTTCCAACCTACTTTAGCCTTGATCGCCAGAAAGAATTTCGAAGAAACCACCGCAACTGGAAGGTTTCCACGCGTCGGGCCCTGGGAAGCGATGCTCGTTCGGCACCGCTTCGATACTTTTCTGGGTGCTCGACACTACTTCTGGGACTTGGTCCTGAAGTACGAGGGTCGGGCCGAACGAACGGGGGGGATAGGGAAAGGGGGGGGTACGAGATTTGCTGCATGCAGCTGGTTTCGGCCTCACCGAGGGGCCCATTCCTCGATACATAGCCGCCTCCGGCGCCGGGAGGCGCCAGGAGAATCGGCTACGCGAGCTGATTCTCAACTTCCCCCTATGCTATCCCCCCCTTTCGCCCGACAGGGGGAAGATCCAAAACGGATCAATCAAATACAACGGGAACGATGGTTCTGTGATCTGTTCGGCTATGTTTGAGCATTTTGGAACCATGTTTCAATTTTCGTCCAAAATCCGCCAGCAGGGGAGCGACATAACCCCGTGGAGCCCTGTGGCCCCTCCGCTAGGCGTCGGGCGCCGGCGGCGCCGCGGCGGGGCCTCGGCCAGGCGACGCGCCGCCACCGGGGCCGGACGCCGCGGCGGCCGACGCGCAG